GCTGTCTCTCGGGGCCGGTCTGGATCCAGCTGGCGCCTGGCTGCGCTTTTTCCGCCCATTTCCTGCTTTCGAGCGGCCGAGGGAACGAGCTTCTCTTAGGGCAGAGGAGGGAGCGGCTGCCTCCGCCAGGACCCCGCCTCACGTCTTCTCTTTCCAGAGCGGGCGGTTACGTGGAGAACCCCCGATCCGGCCTGTGACCTCAGGGGCTGCCGGGGCGCGGCGCTAGGCGGGGTCTCCGGGCGGGCGCGGGGCGGCGGGCAAGGGCAGGGGCGCCGGGCGGACGTCGGCGGCGGAGGAAGGATGGAGGAGCGCCGGAGCCGTGTCACTCAACCTCAGCGTGGTCCGGCGCCTCCCCGACACCATGGCCCTGGCTGAGGTAGTAGTTTGTGCTGTTGGTCGGGTTGTGACATTGCCCGCTGTGGAGATAACTGCGCAAGCTACTGCCTTGCTAGTGCTGGTGATGCTCAGCGCCGCGGAGGACAATGGCTGGGAATCCCCTTTGTTTTCCGGGGCGCGGGGACAGCCCGCTGAGCCCCTGCGCTCGGCCGGCGCGGCCACCAGGGAAACCGTTTAACATTTTCCCGGAGGGAGGAAGGAATTGCGGGGAGAGGGGTGGACGGGGACGTTTTAAAAACGGGAGAAAGAGCTAAGCCGTTGAGTTCGCTTTTTACTCTTGAAGAAAAGAGTGAAATTGTGTAAGATAATGACACAGACAACTTTTCCACTCTAATTTTAACTCCTCTTTCAGTAGGGGTTGCAGGATTTCGTTTGTACCTGTTTTAGTTGATGCTTTAGCTGTAGATCGGAGTAGAGCGAACTATCTTGTTCTGAACTGGCGTTGGGGGCAGAATAGTAGACCCATTAATTATCAAGTTTATGTCTTAAAACATTTTAAGTCTGGCTTTTGATGTTTCCTCGGTAAATTTAAGAGTGTTTAAAAAATGTAAATCTAAAGCAATTTAACTTTTCTATTTAAACTTTGTTTTGCAACTCCTTGAATGAGATTGAATTTATAGTTAAATGCACTACTGAGATTTTTTTAATGAGGCAAATAAATCGTTTCTACAGTGTGCTGAGTGTTTTTTCTTTTTAGTTTAATTTTGGGGGCTTAAATTCTTTGGTGTAGTGGGGTTTTTTTGCCTTTGATTCTCATAATAATTTTTAATTTATGTCATTTTATCTATTGATATAAATTAATAGATTGCATTTTAGTATGGACGGAAAGGATCTAGGTAGGAGTTAAAAGTATGAGTTCTGGATACTTTGGTTTTACAATCCAGTAACGTTGAGGTACCATTACTCCAAATAGGAAAATAAAATTTCGATAAAATTTAATTTGGATAGCTAACGAAATTACCTGGTATTTGAAATACACCGAAGTCTGTCTTGGTGGAAAAGAAGGTAATTGTATCTTTTATATTTTCATTTCACTGAGATACATCAGTTGTAAATTTTTAGAACTTAAACTGACCTGGTTTTGATTTGTGCAGAATAATTAGCTGTGAATGTAATCACAGTTTTCTGTGGTTTAAATTTTGATACTTAATTGGAAAAAATTCTTAGCAATTCTTTACTAAGAAGAAGGCACATATAAAGGAGAAAATTTTAAAGAACCAACTGAATTCCTTCTGTCCCCTTCAATAGGAGTCAGATGCATTTGTAATTCAAAAGTGAGCTGTCTAATAAGTATGCATTGATTTGGTTTGGTTTAGCTTAGAGCGATAACCTTACTCGATCTGATCTCATCTGGATGGAGCTACCTCATTATGGAAAGGACAGTTGACCTTATGTTGAATCTTAAAATGCAGAAAATACTTAAATGTTGGCTCTTTGAGTTTGCTTGTCTGGATATCAAAGAACAAAGTAAATTCAGGACTTTATTAAGTGCCGCTTCTTTGAAAGGATGAAAATCTCAGGGTGTTATTTTAAATTTTGGTTCACAGAGAAACTAATTATAAAATTCTAATTGTACTGTAAAAACTCATTTTCCAAAACACTTTATTCAGCCAACCAAGCTAATCCTCATCCCACAGAGGTCATTTTCTTTCCTACTACACTAACATTTTATAGAGAATCAACAGTTGTTAATCTGTACCCAAAGTATTGCACGTTCTGCCAGTACTTTATAGAACTTTAATGGATCAGCAGATAGGAAGCTGTACTATATCGATGACGTATTCATAGTTTATTCTTGGCTTTTAAAGTAAATTTTATCCAAAACTATATATTGCCCACATAAGAACATTTTTGAGTTGTCGGATGTAAAGATACTTCCATTTTATTCTTGTTTGATGAGTTATAAGCGAAAATACCGGCCAGTACTTTATAGAACTTTAATGGATCAGCAGATAGGAAGCTGTACTATATCGATGACGTATTCATAGTTTATTCTTGGCTTTTAAAGTAAATTTTATCCAAAACTATATATTGCCCACATAAGAACATTTTTGAGTTGTCGGATGTAAAGATACTTCCATTTTATTCTTGTTTGATGAGTTATAAGCGAAAATACCGGCCCAGGCAGCTTGTTTTTAGTACCATAGCTGTATTCATGCTTTAATCTCCAGTTTTAAAAATGTACCAGCCTTTCCCTTTTACATTTCTCTATATACGGGTGAATTCTATTACCTAGTGAACATTTTTACTGTTGACAAGATGAATTTGTCTTATTAAAAATGCAACTTTTCAAACTTGGTATTTTTGACATTTATCTGGCACAATTAACTTTTTCTGTTAAAGATCTATTATGGTGTGAGTTAGCAAAAAGCCACTAATGGAAAAGAATAAGGCAGTATTTTGAGTCCCCTTCTCAGTACGAGACCAAATAAAAGCTGGGTTGTGGTAATATTTTAATGTCATCTTTAATTATGGGAAATACAGATGGTATATGTGGCAGGGGTCCCCAGCCCCCAGCCTGTGGACCTGTACTGGTCCATGGCCTTTTCGAACTGAGTCGTACAGCAAGAGGTGAGCAGCAGGCAAGCTAGTGAAGCTTCATCTGTATTTGCAGCTGCTCCCCAGTGCTAGCATCACTGCCTCAGCTCCATCTCAGATCATCAGGCATTAGATTCTCATAGCACCAGTCCCTGGTGTCAAAAAGGTGGGAACTGCTGGTATATGAGATACTTGGAGAGGATTCTTGGGGACCACAGTTTTGCTTCATGCCCCAAAGTGAGAGTTCCTGGTTGTTAACCTTATATATAAAAACTTTATAAACTACTTAAATATAAAATTACCTTTTGGCAGGTAGGCAAGACTGACCAGTCAGGGTGGACTCAGGACATGTGTCTTGTAGAGTAGCCCCAAAAGAATCATCGCCGAAGGAACCTGGCAGCCCGGATTAGCTCTTTAGTGTAAAGGAACATGGTGCCAAGAAAGTTGTGAGATTTCTACATAACTACACATTCTCTCCCCCTATTGTTTATTATACCATACCTCCATAGTAAAGAAACCTGGGTGGTATTGTTATTTTACTTTTCCCATTGAACATTCTGTAATTCCTGCAACAAAAAGGAAATAGGACAATTGTCTTCAAAGTGAATTAGGCCAGATCAGTAATACCCAGGAGAATTATGTCCATTGTTATAAAACTTTAAAAACCATAGGTGCCTCTGCTGTGTAGATAATTAAGGCAAAAATATAACAATCACCTGAATGATTGTCTAATGCCATTCATAAAGTGTTTTTGTTAGATTATCACTTAGGCACCATGGGAAAAACAATAATTATATGGCTAGGTTACCACCCCAAAGGAAAACAATTAGAAAAGATCTAGCATGACATGCTTAAGAATCAAAATGTGAGTGGATCAGAAAAACATTTAGTGATCTACTTGACCTTTGAGACCTGGCAGAAAAAGGGTGGAAGCTGAGGGGAGAGAGGTATGGACCTCTTAGAACAGATCATGTAGCTTTGAGAGGTCTCTTGATTATGTTTGTAGCCTCTCGTAGTCTAAAAGTGGGTAGGCAGGCTAGAAGTGGAATTGAGATCTTGGAGATGAGCAATACAATTGTAGTTGATAGTGAGAACTCTGGGTGGCTTACATTTTAATCTTGTTATATCTGCTACTAATATGCTGGAGTGTTATTCTAACAAATACTGCTAGTTCCACATGGAATATAGTGTGCTTTCTTATCTCAAGTTGAATTAAATAAATATATATATACACACATATATATATTTTTTTGGTTAAATTTTCAATTAACAGTGACCTTTCTTTGAAAGAGCTGTTTTGTTCAGATGTAATGGAATTGCGCCACACAGACTTCT